ACACCATCCCAATATAAATCCTAAATTAAATTTTTGATAATTTTTGATAGAGTTTTTTTAAATCATGGTAAAGTACACATAACATAAAATTCACCATTTTAATCATGTTTAATTGTACAGTTCAGTGGTGTTAAGTACATTCACGTTGTTGTTCCTTGCAGACACCATTTTACTTCTTTTCTCTACAAATTCCTCCAGATACCTCATATAAGTGGAATCTTAAATAATTTTGGGGGGTATTTTTCAAATTTTTGTTTTGAAATAGTTTTAGATTTACAGATGAGTTGCAAAGTTAGTACACAGTTAAGTATATCCACAACTTGGCTTCTTCTAATGTTAATGTCTTACATGACCATAGTACATTTCTCAATATGAAGAAATCAGTATTAGTTCTGCCAACATGGACCGAGGAAAGAAACCAGCCTTCAGTCACTGGAGCAGGCAGCTGCCGGCTTTTTGCAGATCCAGAAATTTTCCGTATTACACAGTACGTCGTTCCAGCCATTGCCTTTAAATTCTGCACAGTCTTCATCCCCGATATTGTTGGGCTCCCCATCATTCCAGTACTTCTTGAAACTGCAAATCCCATCCAGAACGTGAGCCTCTGCCCTACCACATACTCTGATCCATGTTGCTAGCTTCTGTTAACTTGCTGCGTGAGTGTCTGCCCTGCATGCATATGGTGGACATGCCTTGTTCTGTACAACCCAATAGAATGTCTGTTACTCTGCCCTGGCCTCCTTCCTCCCATGTTGTAACCCCTCCTTGGCAGGAGTCCACGTCCTGGAGATGTGATTTTCAGATACAAACCAACCAATCTAGAGTGCACACCCCAAAGCAGCTCCCTAACTGGGGTCTTGCACTCCAGGCCACTGTCCACCTGCCCTAATCAACCCATGGCCAGGTACCAGACAACGGAGAGCAACCGCTGTGCCCCACAGCCTGCTGAAACCATTCAAAGTAGCCAGTCCTAATTCTCCTTAACACGCCTCGCCCACTCCTTCCCACAGGAACCATAACAAAGGCCCTTGCTCAGTTTCCCTCCCTCTGACATAACCGACCTCGGTGCTTCCCCGTGTGGCCTCCCCGTGGGGGGATGTGTACTTCCTCTCCTGGGATCGGTGAGCATAACGATCTACCTTTTCAATGGCAATTGTCTCCTGAGCTGTTGGCCTTACTTTACCTCAGACGTTGTATTAATACACTGTGTTCTAAAACACCCGCCCAGGCAGCAAGCTCCTCCTAAAGCTCTGATGGTGGAATGTCAGGCACCTGCCATCCTGTCTGAACGTGGGTTTGAACAACACCTTCCTCAATCAGTAAACGTCCCAGACTCTTAGGTTTAGGGGGCCTGGGAGTGGGAGAGGAGCCCCAGGCAAGGCTCAAGTCAGTGTCTCAGAACCCCACAACCACCCGATAGGATGTGCCCTTCTCCCCAGATCTACCTGCTCAACAGAGGTGAACCATCCACCCAGTGCCACGTGCCTTCATGTTTCAGGTCTGAGAGCCCCATCCAGGTGAGGTGCTTACTGTCAGAAGTCTGACTCTGTAGGAAGCTCTGGAGAAGAACAGGAGGTGTCAGGAGAAAGCTCTGCCCCCCGTTTTCTAGGCTCAGTGTCTCCCCAATCTCTTGGCAGGAAGTTCTGCTTTCAGTCTAACTTGGAGCTTTCTCAGGTACCGGCTCTGAGCCCCCACATGTCTGAACCCCTCTCACACCTGTATCCCGTGGTGCGGGTGTTGGGACTCGCAGACGTACGTGCACAGCTGGCCTCGGCTCACACACTGAGGAGCACACTGCCTGCTTATCTGTCTTGCGTGTCCTGAACGTGTGCACACAAATGTGCCCATGACTGGGTTCAATGTCCTGGGCACAAGATGTACCAGGTTATGACGGCTGGTCATGCTCATCTTTGTTCAACTCCGCATTGGGTCCCATCTCATTGATAGCTTGGAGTCAGCCATGGTGGGGATGTTTGCACCAGGGGAATTGGCAACACTGCACGTGACGACTCTCTCCTCCCGGGGAGCTAGTGGCCAGCACACCACCGGGGTTTACTTACATGTGACGTGTCCCCAAAGCATTCACACAGGCTCAGATCTTCTCTGTGTCTCCTTTCAAGGTGCTGGGGACCCTCTCATTCATACTTTCTCCTCCCTTTCCTTTCAGGGCTCCCCACCGGGGTACCTGCTCCTCTGCACTCTCGATCACGACCAGCTGGGCCCCCACTTCCTCGCAGGCGGTAACGGAGTCGTGCCAGTTGCGCTCGGACTTGGAGAAGAAGTAACAGTTTCCTTGGAAGAATGTCCAGTCCCAGGCACAGGGGCGGCACAGGCGGGCTGTTGGGGAAGGCGGGTCAGGGCTGGGACCCNGTCCCAGGCACAGGGGCGGCACAGGCGGGCTGTTGGGGAAGGCGGGTCAGGGCTGGGACCCTAATCCAAATGCCCATATTTCTGCATCTGCCCCCTTCCAAGCTCCGGAGAGCCAGGGCCCTTCTTCGACACTACACCTTAGGGTGGGGGGAGAAGGATTCTCCTGTTCCCTTCCTGAGACGCACACTGCCTGCTTATCTGTCTTGCGTGTCCTGAACGTGTGCACACAAATGTGCCCATGACTGGGTTCAATGTCCTGGGCACAAGATGTACCAGGTTATGACGGCTGGTCATGCTCATCTTTGTTCAACTCCGCATTGGGTCCCATCTCATTGATAGCTTGGAGTCAGCCATGGTGGGGATGTTTGCACCAGGGGAATTGGCAACACTGCACGTGACGACTCTCTCCTCCCGGGGAGCTAGTGGCCAGCACACCACCGGGGTTTACTTACATGTGACGTGTCCCCAAAGCATTCACACAGGCTCAGATCTTCTCTGTGTCTCCTTTCAAGGTGCTGGGGACCCTCTCATTCATACTTTCTCCTCCCTTTCCTTTCAGGGCTCCCCACCGGGGTACCTGCTCCTCTGCACTCTCGATCACGACCAGCTGGGCCCCCACTTCCTCGCAGGCGGTAACGGAGTCGTGCCAGTTGCGCTCGGACTTGGAGAAGAAGTAACAGTTTCCTTGGAAGAATGTCCAGTCCCAGGCACAGGGGCGGCACAGGCGGGCTGTTGGGGAAGGCGGGTCAGGGCTGGGACCCCAATCCAAATGCCCATATTTCTGCATCTGCCCCCTTCCAAGCTCCGGAGAGCCAGGGCCCTTCTTCGACACTACACCTTAGGGGTGGGGGGAGAAGGATTCTCCTGTTCCCTTCCTGAGACCCCCCCCACCCTCAGGAGAACCAGGAGACCTGGCCCCATCTCTCCAGAGTGGGAGAGGTAAGAGGTTCAGCTTTTGAACTAAGACGGAAGGCAGGACACTGCCTTCATTGAGTGCCTACTGTGTACCTGACCCTGGGAACACCAAGTGCAATTGTCACTGTCCCCCTGTGTTTCCATTTCACAGATGAATACACTGAGGCTCAGAGCCTTGGTGACTCAAGCGAAGTCACACCCCATGGAGATGCTCTCAGGCCCTACGACTCCTGGTTCCCGCCACTCACCGACCCCAGCCTTCAGCTGAGTTAGTTCCTTGGACATCTCCTGCTGCACTTGCTCCTGGGAGCTGGGGATCTTGGAGACTGTGCCGAGAGAAGAAGAAATCGCAATTATTAAGCATCGACTGTATACCATGGCCTGTCCTGGGCCCCCAGAAACATCATTACTGAGAGGCAAGGTCTTGGTTCATCCCGTTTGGAGATGTGGACGACCGGCACCCAGCGAAGGCAGCACCGGGACAGCAAGTGGAGCTGGGGTTCGTCCCTGCCCCTCCTCCTCCTGCTCCTTCCCTGCAGCAAGGTGGGGGAGGGGTGGTGGGAGAGGCTCCCTGGAAACCCTGGGGGACCTGATTCCAGCTTTGAGCCCCACCTCCCTCCCGGACCTGTCCTCCCCAGGCTGTGTCCACTGAGGAAGGCCCAGCTCTTCAGAGCCTGCCCCTGACCTTGGACGAGGACGGCCACCAGGAGAGCCGTGAAGAGTGTGAAGGAGAGAAGATGCAGTATCATGGGGACATTGCTCAGGCGCCCTGCAGGGAAGACCAGGAGAGCCGTGAAGAGTGTGAAGGAGAGAAGCTGCAGTATCATGGGGACATTGCTCAGGCACCCTGCAGGGAAGAGGATGAGCTGTTCCAGCAGGTCAGTGTCCCTGCCTAGCCTGACCCAGGGGCAGCCCGGCCCTTGCCTCCAGCTCCCTAGGACCCAGGGATAGCCAGGCCCCTGTTTCCAGCTTCCCAGGACCCGGGAGTCCAAGCCCCCAGCCCCATCCTCTCCGGGACCCAGGTATCTGGGAGAAGCTGTCCCCTGTCCCCTGACCCCAACCCTGCTCTACCTGCAAAACTCTTGAGGCCAGGAGTCTGTCGGAATCCAAAGTTTGGGAAAAATCTGATGCCAGTTGTTATCAGCTCTTCCTGCTCTGAATGGGCAGAGCATTGACTCAGAGCCTGGGCAAGCTGAAGCCACACCTGGCCAGACCCTGTGCCCCTTCCGCAGGATCTCAGAGTCCCATCCATCCTCACCCTGGGGGTCCAGCTGCTGGGCCATTTGATCCTCCGAGTCACCCAGGTCCTCCGCTGTTCCTCAGTGTATGGGACTGCTGGAGACCACAGCTCTTATATCCAACTCCGTGATTTTCACTCTCTAAATCTACTCTTACTCAGGAAGAGAAACAGGGAACTGGGTAGGGACATAGCACCGGAAAAAGCTGGGGAGGGAGGGATCCATCTTCTGACACAGCATGGAATGGGCCAGAACTTCCAGAAATTATGGGGAGGTGGGAGGGTGGTCTGGGGTTGACAGAGAGAAGGTCTGACCCACTCATGGCATGGCCAAGCTGTGAGATGCTTTTAGTGACATCCAGTAACGTGTAGTGTAAAGCTACTTTGTTATGCCTTCTCTACCCAGAGCACGGGTGGGCAGAAAGCGTCCACACTTTTCCTGGAAACATCATCCCATCTGACTTCCAGGCTTTGCTGTCTCATTTGCTGATGTGCTTAATATGTAGTGATTTCTGCTGACTTTGGAAGTTGGGGAGTTTAATCATAATTGCTTATGTTCATTTAATGCCTACTACAGTTGGGCACTTTTCTAACTGCTTTATATACTCATTCCTTTAATATTCTTACCCTGTGGTTGGAAATGTGACCTCCATTTTACAGATGGGGGAACAGAGGCTCAGAAAAATTAGGTAACTGGCCACACAGATGGTAAGTGGTGGGGCTGTGATTCAAAAAATTCTTACCCTGTGGTTGGAAATGTGACCTCCATTTTACAGATGGGGGAACAGAGGCTCAGAGAAATTAGGTAACTGGCCACACAGATGGTAAGTGGTGGGGCTGTGATTCAAAAACAGTCTGCCTTCACAGTTCCAACTGGAGTCACTCCTGTCCACCTCCGTCCTTCAATGTCCAGGACAGCTGGGGACCACAGTTGTTATTTCCCATCCCCACCATAACTAAAGAGAGTCGAATAGTGTCATGGAGAAAACAAAAAGTGTTCCCGTTAAAGTCAGGAAAAGGAATGAAAAGAAAATTCACAGACTGGGAGACAATGTTTACAAATCACATATTGTGTAAAGGATTCTAAAGTGTATAGCAAACTCCTAAAACTCAACAATAAGAAAACAGCAAACCTAGAGTAAAAACAGGCAGAAGTATAAAGCAACAACAGAAAAACAAATAATCCAGTTAAAAAATGAACAAAGGACTTGAATAGACATTTCTCCAAAGAAGATATACACACGGCCAACAAGCACATGGAAGGATGCTCGACATCACTAATTGTGAGGGAAATGCAAATCAGAAACACCATGAGACATCACCTCACACCCACTAGTAAGACTACCATAAAAAAGAAGAAAATAACCAGTGTTGGCAAGGACGTGGAGAAATTGGAACCCTTGTGCACTGTTGGTAAGAATGTGGCCACTAAGGAAAACAGTATGACAGTTCCTCAAAAATTAAAAATAGGATGACCATATGATCCAACAATCCCACTTCTGGGTAAACACCCCAAAGAACTGAAAGCAAAGACCCAAAGGGATATTTGTACATCCACGTTCATAACAGCATTACTCACAATAGCCAAAAGGTAGAAGCAACCCAAGCGTCTGTTGATAAAAGAATCGGTAAACAAAATGTGGTAAATGTATATACAATGGAATATTATTCAGCCTTGAAAATGGAAGAGAATCCTGACACGTGCTACAACATGGATGAGCCTTGAGGACATTATGCTGAGTGAAATAAGCCAGTCACCAAAAGACAAATACTGTCTGACTCCATTTATATGAGTCCCTAGAGTCATCAAACCCATAAAGATAGAAAATAGAATGGTGGGTGCCAGAGGCTGGGGAAAGGAGAGTGGGGAGGGAGTGTTTAATGGGGACAGAGTTTCAGTTTTATGAGATGGAAATGTTTCTGTGGATGGCGGGCAGTAGCGGGGGCACACCATTGTGAGTATACTTAATGCCACTGAACTATACACTTGGAAATGATTTACATGGTAAATTTTACATTATGTGTATTTTACCACAATCAAAATAAATATTTTTTAAAGTGCAAAAGATCTGAACAGACACTTCACCCGAGCACATAAACGGATCGCAACTAAGCATAGGAAAAGATGCTCAATGTCCTCTGTGTTTTAATCGTGTTCTGTGCACCCCATTGGTGAGGGGTGGCGGAATGCACAACACCCGATCTGGACAGATGAGATCCACAGCAGTGCATTGGAGGAGGACACTGTAAGCCACACAGGGGCACATGGAAGTTACACTTGGTAACAAAGTGAACGACCACAAGATTCAGAGGCTGACTTTGTAGTAACAAAAGGTGGAGGTGCCCACTGGGTCCCACAGGAGGAGGTGATTGGTTTGTTTGAATAATTCCCTGGCTGGCAGGGAACCGAAACCCACTATTTGGGGATAAGCTGAAACTGGGCTTGGTCTTTGACTGTGAGGGCTGTTTGGTCAGTGGACTTTATCCGCAAAAGCAGAGGGGGAGGCTCTCCCGGTTTGCCCCAGATGTCAAGGCAGCACATGATATTAGGCCTTAATTTCAGCCGTTACAACACCATTGACCACTTGATGACTAGACATCCATTTAGACCTTGGTGATAACTGAGACTTTTAGGGATTAGGAGAAATGTCTCCCTAAGAAGTAAAACACATAAATGTATTTCATACGTAGAAGGCCACATGCAATAAGCAAAATCTAATTCACATGAGTTTGGGCCATAATCCCAAATGTTAAAATCCCAAAAGATAAAAATCCCTAAAGTCTAAAATACCCCAAATCTGGGATGGCCAGTTATCTCAGTCAGTTAGGGCACTGTGTTATAACATCCAGGTCAAAGGTTTGGATCCTTGTACCAGCCAGCCACCAAAGGAAAAAAAAATCACCAAGACCAGAATCCTGAAAATAGGAAGATGGCAGAATAGACGGTCCGCAGCGCCACTCTCTCCCACAAATCAACCAAATTTACAACTTTAAAAATGTAACATCAGCCAAGCCGGGACTGCTGGAGCTCAGGGCAAGAGGAGGAGAGACCTACGGAGTTCATGAAGGTGGGAGAAACTACGAAGAGAGAAAGAAAACGCTGCTCTGAGCATTTCGGGCTGCGGCTGCTTTAAGGCTTGAGCCGCTGAGCGCATGGAGCAGCCGCGGCTGTGCCCTTCAGATGGAGTTACTTGGAGGCAGCAAGAGAGAAGAGGGCCATGGTGGCCCCCAGGACAGCAAGACCACTAATAGGGTTCACGTGGATCCACGCAGGAGCAAGGAGCAGAATAACTGAAAAAAGGGGAGCCATTCAGAGGCTGGTGAGTCATCGCAAGGGACCAGCACAGGGCCCGGCCCACGGGAAGTGTTTGCAGCACGGGCGATGGGGGAGACAGGCCCACCCAGAGAACACTGGACACGGCAAGGACAGCTCATCTGCTTCCCAATCAGCACAGGACCACTCAGAGGAGACTGGTCAGGAATGCAGAATTGCATGGGGTGCAGTTTGATGAAAAAACTCAGGCCCAGATCAGAGATTCTACAGAACACAGATCCACTGGGTCTCTGGAGAGCCAGAAGTACCTATAAGATCAACCATTAAACCCTGAGCTGCACAAAAAGCCTTCCCTAGGGAAACAGCAGCAAAGCAGCAATTTATCTTATTTATTATTTATTTTTTTTAAAGATGACCTGTAAGGGGATCTCAACCCTTGGCTTGGTGTTGTCAGCACCGCACTCTCCCGAGTGAGCCACGGCCCTCAAAGTAGCAATTTAAACAACCACACAGCTCAAGTGCTGGTTCCCACAGGAAGTTCCCCCATGTTAGAAGCAAAGGACAAGGGCTGACCCCATGGCGCACTAGGGAGAGTGTGGAGCTGGCAGCGCAGCGACGCTCCGCCGCGGGTTTGGATCCTATATAGGAATGGCCGGTGCGCTCAATGGCTGAGTGCGGTGCGGGAGACACCACACCAAGGGTTGCAATCCCCTTACCGGTCACGAAAAAGACAAAAAAAAAAAAAAAAAAAAGAAGCAAAGGACAAAAAAATTAGTTCCGGCTCAGGCACACCACCAGCACCTTGAGGCCTGCCTGGGAATTGGAGGCTTGGATCTGGGAATCAGACCCCACTCCCACTTTCAGGCAAACTGCACCAGTGCCTCCGGGACAGCCTGGGGACCTGAAGCCCGGAGAAGGGGACTGGACCCCCCCTCCCACAACCAGGCACACCATGCCAGCACCTTGGGGCCTGCCCAGGGACCTGAGGTAAGGAGAAGGGGACCAGACCTCTCTCCCACAACCAGGCACACTGAGCCAGTGCCTTGGGGCTCACCCAGGGACCCGGGGTATGGAGTTGGTGACCAGACCACCCTCCCACAACCAGGCACAACATGCCAGCATCTTGGAGCCCACCCAGAGACCTGGGGCAAGGAGAAGGGGAATGGTCCTCTCTCCCACAACCAGACACACCACTCCAGAGCTTCAGGGCCTGCCCAGGGACCCGAGGCATGGAGAAGGGGACTGGACCCCCCTCCCACAACCAGGCACACCATGCCAACACCTTGGGGCCTACCTGGGGACACAAGGCAAGGAGAAGGGGAACGGACCTCTCTCCCACAACCAGGCACACTGAGCCAGCGCCTTGGGGCCCACCTAGGGACCCAGGGTATGGAGTCGGGGACTGGACCTCTCTCCCACAACCAGGGACACCATGCCAGCACCTCAGGGCCCGCCCGGCCCAGAGGCGTGCAGAAGGGGACCAGACCCTCCTCCCACACCAGGCACAAAATGCCGGCACCTCGGGGCCCACCTGGATACCTGAGGCATGGAGAAGGGGACCAGACCCTCCTCCCACAACCGGGCACACTGTGCCAGTACCTTACGGCCCACCCAGGGACCCGGGACATGGAGAAGGAGACTGGACCCCTCTCCCACAACCAGACATACCGCAGTGCCAAGGAGCATGTCAAAAACAGCACCTCCATGTGGGTGGCCCACCACAGCCACCACACAATAACCATGGCTGCTGCAAAAGCGGCTAGATGCTACAG